CAAAACTCAACAGAATAAAAAAAAATAGCAAAAATTATGCTTCGATCTGCATTCAAATTCCATAGTTCTTTCTTTGGATGTGGATAGCATTTTCCATCATAAGGCCTTTGGAGATGTCTTAGATCCTTGTATTGTTGGGAAGGGTTAAGTTTATCAATATTAGTCATCGCACAATGTGGCTGTTATTGTGTACAACATTCTCCTGGTTCTGCTCATTTCACGCAGCATCAGACCATACAAGTCTTTCCAGGTTTTTCTGAAGTCAGCCTGTTCATCATTTCTTGTAGCACAATAGTATTCCATTACATTCATATACCACAACTTGCTTAGCCATTCCTCAGTTGATGGGCATCCTCTCAATTTCTAATTCTTCACCACTACAAAAAGAGCTGCTATGAATATTTTTGTACTTAATTAGATATCTTGCCAAACTTTTTTTAAACTGGTTTTAAAAAGCAATTTAGATTTATTTAAATCTTACATGCTTCTTTCTGCTTTATTAGAAAATGCTACAAAAAAATTATCCTTCTTTGGAATATTTTTTACAAATGAGTTTATCTTTTAAATTGGGATTGCCTTGGCCCATGAAGCAAACTGACATTATGTAGCAGTCACTCCCAACCAAAAAATACTCTAATACCTTTAAAAATATATTAAAATAACCATGTTATCATAGAGTAGGGAGACAATAGTCCAGCTGTACTCTGTTCTAATGAGACAACATCTGGAATGCCTATTCCACTCAGTTCTGAGTGCCACATTTTAGGGAAGACATTGATAAACTGAAGCCTCTTAAGAGAAGGGTGACTAAGGGCAACTAAGTGGCGCAGTGGATAGAGCACCGACCCTGGAATCAGGAGGACCTGAATTCAAATGTGGACTCAACACAAAACACTTACTAGCTGTGTGACCCTGGGCAGGTCACTGAACCCCATTGCCTAACAAAAACAAAAACAAAAACAAAAAAAAAGAGAAGGGTGACTAGGATCAATCAATCAGTCAATAAACATTTATTAAGCACCTACCATGTATCAGGCATGGTGCTAAGTGCTAGGGATACAAAAAGAGGCAAAAGACAGTCACTGCCTTCAAGGAGCTTACTGTCAATGAGAGAGACAACATGCAAACAAATATAAACAAAGTGAGCTATATACAGGATAAATAGTAAATAACAGAAGGAAGGCACTGAACCTAAGGTTGGGGGGGGTGCAGCTTGGTGGCACAGTGGATAGAGTACCAGCCCTGGAGTCAGGAGGACCTGAGTTCAAATCTGGCCTCAGACACTTCCTAACTATGTGATCCTAGGCAAGTCACTTAATCCCACTTGCCTCCAAAAAAATTTTGTTTTAAAAGAGAGGTTGGGGAAGGCTTCCTGTAGAAAGTGGGATTTTAGTTGGGATTGTGAAAACCTTTGAGATCATAGCATATAAAGAATGGTTGAGGGAACTGGGGATGTTCATCTTGGAGAAAAGAAAATAGAACAGATTTGATAACTGTCTTCAGGTTTTTGAAGGGCTGTCAGATAGAAAAGAAGATAAGCTGTTTTTTCTGCTTGGCCCCAGATTCCAGAACTAGGAGCAATGGATAGAAACTTCAGAGTCAAGTGTAGGCTTGATATAAGGAAAAACTTTATTACAATCAGAATTATACAATAATGAAATGGAATGCTTCAGAAAGTAGTAGGCTTCCCCTCACTACAGAGCATCAAGCAGAGTCATAATTAGGGGGGCATGTGGAGGATACGCTTCCTTCCTGAAGAGACCACCATCCCCCTGCCTTGCCTTGTGGTCTTCTACCAGCCTAGGCTATACCATGGCATGATCATCTCCTGGTCACAATCCTCGGGGCCCTGTGAGGGACTGTCTGATGTTGGCAGCTGCCAGGCCGGGTACTGTGGCAAGGGTAGGGTAAGATCTGGGTATTTTGGAAGTCGAGGCAGGGACTGTGGTAGGCAGAGTCGTGTGTACTGGGATGGGCTGGATACGGAGAAGCCATGAGGCAATTGGGCAGTGCTATGAGATAAGCTGGGTGCAAGGAAGTAGCCGAGCCTGAGCTCCTGAGGCAAGGGGCGGTGCCACGTGGGAGTGGGAGGGCAGAGGACTGAGTTCCCTCTGCTTAGTCCCCTCCCTATATGCAACGTCATCCCCAGATGCCTCTTGTGACCTTCCTGACCTCCGGGTCCCTTTGTGCAGCACTGACCCAGTCCCCTCCTGAGTCTGACTTCCTAGGTCACGTACTCTTGTCTATGCGTCAATCCCAGATGCCTCCTTCCTGTATCCAATCCTGGCCTCCTACGTCACTCCCTCCCCCTTGGTGTGCTAAACTCAGACAGCCCTTTCCGGTATCTGACCCTACAATCATTGGCTAGTAGCGGGCTGGGGAGGAGGGGCTAAGTAGGTACTGAGGAACAAGCGTGGTCAGATCACACACGTGCGCTCTCCCCTGGCTCCTGCCCTGTTGCTCTGGCCTTGCTGTTTGGGCTTGCTATGATGGTTTGCTGTGTTGGCCTCTGAATAAAGCTCAGGTGTTGGTGCCTCCCGATGGCTTGTCTCTGTGTGGTGATCCGGCTCAGAACCGAAGACCCAGGCGTGGGTAAGACTCTGGTGGTGCACTTCTTTTAAGAGAAGTGGGTACTGGCGCACAACTGGCAGAGGGCCGGCGTGCAGCCCGTATAGGGCCCTATTGATGAGTGTCATTCTCATTGGGCCCAACTCCTGGGGGGCAGGGAATAAGCTCTCTGAGACACAGGTTGCTGCTACTGCTGTTTGTCCTTTGTTCTTGAAGAGGAACATGACACGAGGAAGGTGATGCCATGACATGCAAGTGAATTGGATTTAAGTGATATTGGCTGTCCTCTCAGAACAAGTGCCCATGTGTATGAGCTGTCTTTTGTGCCACCACCAAATTCTGTGCCATTTATGAGAATTCCTAATTATGGTTCCATCTTTAAGCAAAGGCTTTGTGGCTACTTGTCAGGTATATTGTAAAAGAGATTCAGATATGGATGAGACTATATGGCCACTGAATCCCCTTTCAGCTCTGAGATTCTGTGATTCAGAAGCAAAAGTTTCCATGTGCTGAGAGTCAGAACAACGAAGTAGACAACAGTGACCCCAGTGGCATAGGTGTAGCCTATACTCCTCTCAGGTATGCTGCTCAGTATTTTCATTCATGGTGTCACAGTTACTTTTTTTTTTTTGGTTGTGTTGTTCCATGGGACATTTGTTACATTTGGCTCTGCTCGAGACCTAGAGGCGTTGCAGACAATGACCAGTTGATGGGAAGAATAATTAAACAAGGAAGGCAGGAAGTCTCAGAGGCTTCCAAAGAAAATTTCATTCCTATTTAGCAGCAGGAGGTAGCTTTTCAGTTCCCCCAACATACACCACAGAAGTTTAAGGGAATTTCATCTTCTGCACAAACTCTCATTGGCTAAGCTCACCCTGAGGGTCAAGTCAAGGCCTTTGGATATCTTTGGCTGAGGTTCTAGCGCCATTTTGGGAGGGTGTATTTCTTGTTAATTACATGATCTACCAGGGAGAATCTCAGATTTAGATTCCAAGTCCTTGGGTTTGAATTATGCCTCTATTTACTTTGGCAAGAATGAGTGAATGAAAAAGCATTTGTTAAGCACTTAATAAGTATCAAACTTTGTTCTGAATGCTGGAGATAGCGATAGATAAATGAAACATTCCCAGCTGTCAAGAAGTTCAAGTTACAGGGAGTACAGTACATATAGGAGGGCTTAGCTGCTGGGCCCAGTGGTGCTGAGAGTACAACTGTAAGGCAAAACACATTTTCTTTAGTGTCATTTCCATTGATAAAGCCATGCCTGTTTCTAATGTTGAACCGCTTGACAGAGCCAAGGACTTTGGTGGAGAAATCTTTCTGGTCTGGGTTGTTAGTAGCTCTGGATATTGAGGCAGCTGACAGGTTTCTGTGGAGGTTGCTCCCCTACATAATGGCTGAAGAGGCCTGGCTGGAATCTTGGCCAGTAGCCAGAGGTATGGGTGCTACTAGTTGAGGGGCTCTTGGGTATAGGATGCTGGGCTACCTCCACTGGGAATGAAGAAGGGGAATGGTGGTTGTGGTGGCAGTGGTTTGGCCTGCCTAGCACATGCCTCTTGTTTCATATTGCTGCCTCTGCTAGGTTGGTCTTCCTGCTTGGGGCATTTAGTTGGCATTTGATGTTAGTGGTAGCAAGAATTTCAGATGATTTCCATAGGAGTTGCTCCTCTGGACGGTGAAAGGGAAATCACTTCCACTATCTGGGTCTCAGTTTCCTCATCAATGAAATGAAAAGCCTAAATGAAATTACTTTGAATATCATTTTGAATCAGTTTGAAATTATTTTGAATCAATCAACTAACAAGAGTCTACTAAGCACTGTGTATCCTAGGTATACAAGGAAAGGCAAAAACAGTCCCTGCCCTCATGGGGAGACAACATGAAAATAACTAGGTATTCAAGATATATAGAGAGTAGATGCAGACCACACCACCTGGGCTCTGCTTCCTGCTTCAACAGATCAGATCAGGGTATCCCCAGAGCCCCTTACCCTTGACCTTTACTTTTCCGAAGCTGACCAGCTCAGCTTGTCTGCTAGCCAACTGCCGGGGCCAGCCACCTCAAGTTGCCTTTTGACTACCTCCTTTCTGGAGCAGTCTCCTCCTTCATAGCCAGCCTCCTGTCTCAGGGACACGCTGCCTCCTTGGTAGCTAGACCTGTGCTTTAGGGACAAGTTGCCTCCCTTGCCACCAGTCTTTGGCGTGAACTTCACCTTCCAGATCTGTCACATCTTTTCCCCTGAGGCTAAGTCTGCTGTCAACTACCTGGCCAACTCTACCTGTGGGCCTCTTACTCTTACCTGTCCCTGTTTCTTTATTTCAACCTGGATGATGTCACCCTCCCTGGGGCTATATCACTTTTTTCCATGATATGGTAAAGGAAAACCTCAAGGGCCTAGTCTTCTTCCGGGTTGTGTAGAAAACTGCCCAAGATGAGTGCGGCTGTATCCTGAATGCCAAGGAATCTGTTTGGACCCTGGAGAAGGGCCTATACCAGGATCTAATGGAGCTGCATACTCTAGGCTCTAGCCAAGGAAACCAATATCTCTGAGAATTCCACCCTGTGTCACATACAAGTGAGCCCCCAGGCTGGGTGGGTACCTGTTTAAGAGGCTCAGTCTGACACTGGACTACAATCTAGGCCTTCCTCTATGACTTGGGTTCATCCTGATGCTTTGGCTCCCACCCCAAACCTGAAAGTAAGTATTGACAATAAAGCTTTCTTGTAGGGGGGGAGGAGGGAGGGAGGGAGGGGGAAAGAGAGAGAGAGAGAGAGAGAGAGAGAGAGAGAGAGAGAGAGAGTCTTGTAGAAGGTGGGATTTGAGTTGTGTTGACAGAAGCTAAGTCCGACTTACACGTTAGGAACATCATTATGACAGTTGTTTGGAAGGTAGATTGGAGTGGAGAGAGACTTGAGGCAGTAAGACTAATTAAGAGGCTATTGCAGTAGTTCAGGTGAAAGGGGATGGGGCCTTGAACTAGGGTGTGGCTGTGGCTGAATAGAGGCATGGAGGAAGGATGTTATTAAGGTAGAAATGACAAGATTTGGCAACTTATTGGATATGTGGGGAGAATGAGGAATTGAGGATGAAACTAAGGTCTCAAACTTAGATGACTGGAAACAAGGTGGTGCCCTTGACAGTAATAAGGAAACTCAGAAGAGGGGAGGGTTTTGGGGAAAAGAAAACGAATTCTGGTTTTGGACATGTTGAGTTTGAGATGCCAGGGAGACATCCAGTGTGAGATGTACTAATGATAGATAGTCACGCAGTACTGGAAATAGACAAGGGCCAAATATGTAGATCTGGGAATTATTTACAGGGAGGTAATCATTGAACTCTTGAAAAGAATCTTGTGACTAAATCTAACTAACTTCTTTCTCAAGATTTGGTTAGGAGGGGCGGAGTCAAGATGGCAGAGTGAAAGCAGTGACTTGCTTGAGCTCTCCCCCAAACCCCTCCAAATACCTGTAAAAAAAAGACTCTAAACAAATTCTAAAGCAGCAGAACCCACAAAAAGACAGAGTGAAACAAATTTCCAGCCCAAGACAACCTGGATGGTTGATCAGAAAGGTATATCGCACCGGGTGGGGAGAGGAATGCAGTTTGGCATGGGTGCACAGGCCACATTGACCCTGGAAGCAGGCCTCAGAGGACTGAATTTCAGGCAGCTGTGGCGGTTTCCAGACTTCTCAACCCATGAACACCAAAGACAACTTAGAAGGTCATTGGGAAAAGTCTGTGACTGTGGTGAGAGTTAGGAGCTAGGTCTCAGCCACAAGTCCTGAGCGCGGCCTGGGGCAGCAGCTACCTCCTGAGCTACCAGCCCACAGACTGAGGGGGAATCGAGTGGATGATCAGAGAGGGATTGGAGGGATCTCTTTGCCAGCACTGAGGCAGGAATCTCTTGCTTTGCCTGTGCTTGGATCTGGGTCACAGTTCCGATGAGTGGTCCTGGGGTGAGGAGGAGCACTGGCATGGTGGAGCTTGTTGTTGTGGTGGAGAGGAAACACCTCGTCCCTTATCATACCACCTTGGAAGAACTGAAAATTTACAAGTCCCTAGAAGTATCTCTGAAAACAGCTGTACAAACCCCTGAAGCTTGGGACAGTACATTCTCCACATTGGAAGCAGACTCTTACCTTAACAAAGAGTTTAAAACTCAAGTAATTGGCTGGGATCATGAGTAAGCAGCGCAAAAAGAGTCAGACTATATTATCTTACTTTGGTGACAAAGAAGATCAAAACATACAACCAGAAGAAGACAACAAAGCCAAAGCTCCTACATCCAAAGCCTCCACGAAAAATATGAATCAATCCCAGGCCTTGGAAGAGCTCAAAAGGGATTGTGAGAAGCAAGTAAGAGAAGAAGAGGAAAAACTGGGAAGAAAAATGAGAGTGATGCAAGAAAATCATGAAAAACAAGTCAATAGCTTGCTAAAGGACACCCAAAAAAATACTGAAGAAAATAACACCTTAAAAAATAGCCTAACCCGAATGGCAAAAGACGTCCAAAAAGTCAATGAGGAGAAGAATGCCCTAAAAATGAAAATTGGCCAAATGGAAAAGGAAGTCCAAAAGATTACTGAAGAAAATACTTCCTTAAAAATTAGAATAGAGCAATTGAAACTAGTGACTTTATGAGAAATCAAGACACTGTAAAACAAATACAAAAGAATGAAAAATTAGAAAACAATGTGAAATATCTCATTGGAAAAACAACTGACCTGGAAAATAGATCCAGGAGAGAGAATTTAAAAATGATTGGACTATCTGAAAGCCATGATCAAAAAAAGAGCCTAGACATCATCTTTCAAGAAATTATCAAGAAAAACTGTCCTGAAATTTTAGAACCAGAGGGCAAGATAGAAATTGAAAGAATCCACTGATCTCCTCCTGAAAGAGATCCCCAAAGGAAAATTCCTAGGAATATTGTAGCCAAATTCCAGAGTTTCCAGGTCAAGGAGAAAATATTACAAGCAGCTAGAAAGAAACAATTCAAGTATTGTGGAAACACAATCAGGATAACACAAGATTTAGCAGTTTCTACATTTAGGGACCGCAGGGTATGGAATGTAATATTCTGGAGGGCAAAGGAGATAGGATTACAACCAAGAATCACCTACCCACCAAAACTGAGTATAATCCTTCAGGGGAAAAAAATGTTCATTTAGTGAAATAGAGGACTTTCAAGCATTCTTGATGAATAGAAAAGTTGACTTTCAAATACAAAACTCAAGTGGAACATGAAGAGGTAAACAGGAAAGAGAAATACTAAAAGACTTATTAAGGTTGAACTTTTTACATTCCTGTATGGAAAGATGATATCTGTAACTCATGAGACCTTTGTCAGTATTAGGGTAGTTGGAGGGAAAAAATTATATGTATGTGTATGTATATATATATAGATAGATAGATAGATAGATAGATAGAGGGCACAGGGTGAGTTAAAGATGAAGGAGTCATATCTGGAGAATAAAATTAAGGTGTGAGAGAGGATTTATACTAGGAGAAGGAGAAGGGGAGAGGTAGAATGGAGTAAATTATCTTACAAAAAACAGAAAAGAAAAGGCTCTTACAGTGGAGGGGAAACGGGGGAAGGTGAGAGGGAATGAGTGAATCTTATTCTCATAAGATTTGACTTAAGGAGGGAATAACATACACATTCAATTGGGTATGGAAATCTGTCTTACCCTACAGGAAAATAGGGGGGGAAGGGGACAAGAGAGTAGGGGGATGATAGAGAGGAGGGCAGGTTGGGAAAGGGAGTAATCAGAAGCAAATACTTCTGAGAAGGGACAAGGTCAAAAGAAAGAATAGAATAAATGGAGGGGTGGGATAGGATTAAGGGAAATAGAGTTAGTTTTTCACAGCATGTCTACTATGGAAGTGTTTTGCATAACTACACATATATAACCTATATTGAGTTGCTTGCCTTTTCAATGAGGGTGGGTGGGGAGGGAGGAAGGGAGAAAATGTGGAACCCAAGGTTTTAAAAACACATGTTTAAAAAAATGTTTTCACATGCAACTGGGAAATAAAAAATACAGGAAATGGGGTACAGAAATCTATCCTGCCCTACAGGAAACTGGAAGGGGAAGGGGATAAAAGGAGGGGAGACATAGAAGGGAAGGCAGACTAGGGGAAGGGGTATTCAGAATGCATGCCATCTTAGGGTGGGGGGAGGAGCGAGATGGGGAGAAAATTTGGAACTCAAAATCTTGTGGAAGTAAATGTTGAAAACTACAAATAAATTTATTTATTATTTTATAAAAAAATTAAAAAAAATTAAAAAAAGATTTGTTTAGAGAGGACAGATTCTCTTTTTCCAATCAATCAGCCAACCAACAAATGTTTAAGTGACTACATGTGCCAAGCACTGTGTTAAGTGTACAGTGAAACTAGAGAGGGTTGTTCCTTTGAGAGAACTTTTAGATGATCCCTGAACCTCTTTCAGGTCCTGAATTGTGTCCTTTCATATCCCCCAAGTCTTAAGCTTGGGTTAAAAAGAAAACAACCTTGTAAGTATAAGAAAAGGGAGATGGAGCTAAATGGCTGTCCATTTGAAAACAATCTGGGAGTTTTAGTGAAACTGTAAGTTCCCTAAGAATCAATAGTAAAATCTGGCAGCAGAAAATTTAAAAAGCTTGTGATCTTAGGTTATATTAAGGGCTAGGGAGGTGATAATCCTATTGTAACCTGCACTTGTCAGACCACATCTGAAGTAGTATTGTCAGTTAGTTAATAAGCATTTATTAAGGACCTACTATGTGCCAGTTACTGTGCTAAGGGCTGGAATACAAAGAAAGGCAAAAACTATCCCCTGGTTTCAAGGAGATCATAGTCTAATGGGGGAGACAACATGCAAAAAACTAAGTACAAACAAGATTTATACAGGATAAATTGGAAATAATCATCTATTCTGTATGTCATAGTACAGGAAAGACCTTGATAAGCTGGGGAAGAGGGCCCTCAGAAGAGGGCAACCAGGATGGCAAGTGACTTCAAGTTAATACAGTATGAGGATTGCTTGAAGAAACAGAGAGTGCTTAGCCAGGAGAAGAAAAGACTTAAGTGGAATATGATAGATGTTCCATTGTGTGAAATGCTACCATAAAGTTGTTTGAAGGAGCAAGGAAGAGGGCACCATTGCTGGCTATATGTTTCCCGTCTCGTTAAGAATCCAGGTAAACTGGGGAGAAAAGATATGTAGACGCAAGCCAATAAACTGAACTGTTTACAACGCATCATAGAGTGTGGTTTCAACTGAGCCACTCAAATCTCATTCCTTCTGTCTTTTCCCACTGCTACCACCCTAGTATATCCTATTACCACCTGCCCAAACTATGTTTGTTGTTGTTCAGCCATGTTCGACTCTTTGTGGCCCCATTTGGGGTTTTCTTAGCAAAGATACTGGAGTGATTTGCCATTTCCTTCTCCAGCTCATTTTACAGATGAGGAAACTGAGGCCAACAGGGTTAATTGACTTACCCAGGGTCACACAGCCAAAAAGTGTCTGAGATAGATTTGAACTCATGAAGATGAGTCTTCCTGACTCTAGGCGCTGTGCTCTATCCACTGCACCACCTAGTCGCCCAGCCCAAACTAGTGCAGTCGTCTTTCTCACAGGTTTTTCTCACTTCACTCTCTCTTCCAATCCATCCTTCACACCACTGCCAGAATAATCTTTCTTATACACA